CAAGCCTCAGAACAGACAGCGAACGCTCGTGCCCGGGGAACGTGGTGGTGACGCCGAGGTCCTGGAGACAGCCGACACCAACCAGGTTCCTCGAGAACGAGGGAACGTGGAGGCCAGTAAGGGGAGCCCGAGGGAACTGCCGGACAGGGAAGGGACGTAGAACTGCGCGCGACGACAGGGACCCGCAGAGGGTCCAGCGAGAGAGACAACAGCAGGTGCAGCAAGCGGCGTGAGCGTGGAACGGTCGCGGAAGAAGCAGGCAGAAAGCACCGGAGTCGAGAGTGAAGGACAGCGACGCAGTGGCGGAGGCCGGGGACGGAGCCGGTGCAGCGACTAGACTAGGCAACCTAGGCAGTCCTACGCCTGACGCAGCAGGGGAGGCTAGCTACACAGTGTGCAACACCTAAACTAGAGTACACAGGGTAATAAGATCCAGCAAAACTAGAAGCGTCAGCATACAAAGCATGCAAAGCAGCACCTAGTCTAAATCGCAAGCATTGTCCTAGCTGATCCATGTCTAACTCAAAGATCGGCACGCCCTGGCGGAGCAGGCTGTGCCAGTCGGGAGGTCCGGGGCCGGCCAAAGCGACGACGAAAAGATCGTCGAGGCGGCGGAAACAGCGGGCGGTCGGGTGCGGGCGGCGGCACAGAGTGCCGCGAGAGGCCCGGTCTGAAAGCTGGTACTGGCAGGTCACAGCACTGGAGCCGCTGGTAGACGCCAAGCTGCGCGGGCCGCCACCACGGCCACTACCCTCCGGAGGTGCCGGGCCAACCAGGCGGAGACGGCCCACTGCTGCGGCGACTGCTGCTGGGACGGTGCTGCTGCTGGGGCGGCGCTGCTGCGGTGGGGCTTCTGCTCCTGCCCACCAGGTGGTAGTCCCCGCAGGCGACTACCGTCACCACCACCACTGCCACCACCAACCCCTACCCCCTGGCGGCCACGGCCACCGCGACGCGAGCGCTGCTGCGGGTGGACAGCAGCAGCCGTCTCGGTAAGAGGGGTCCGCCGTGGCGACCGCAGCCGAAACGTCAGTGAACGCACACTGAGGGGCACAACCGTGAAAGATAAGACTGCGGCGCACCGCTCGACTGAGCGATAGTGCGCTGGCGAGTCTCGATCTCGTGAGGGTGTCGACAAAGGCAGTGAGGTGAGGTCACCCGGGTGCTGGCTAAGAAAGTGATCGCGAGCACTAGCGAGGCGGTCTGGCAGGCGCATAGCGATAAAATAGAGCGTCATGCAAAAGGGGGGGGAGCGCAGTGAGCTGGGCAGCAGTGCTGGCAGTGCGATAGCGGGTCTCTAGGGCACGCAGGTGAGTGGCAAAGTCTGCGACGGTAGGGAAAGCTGCAAGGTCTGGGAAAAGCATAGGGAAGAGCAGGCGACCAGCAGAAGCAGACGCGGGTGTGGAATAGCGGGCAATAACAGCGTCTAAGTAAGCTTTGGCCGTCTCAATAGTAGCAAAACGCGAGCGCTCAGAGACAGGGAGGGCGTGGCTAATGGCAACCTGAGCGACTGCATCGCGGGAGTCCCAGACCGCACGGGCAAGCGCAGCAGTAGAGAAGGTCTCACGGTCATCAGAGGAGGGATCAGCAGGGAGGGGAGCAGGTGCGGGGGGCGGGGGAGCAAGCCGTCGACATGGACAACCAAAGAGTGGCCATCCTGTAAGGTGGCGGCGGAGATCGGAGAGCCAGGCGGCGAAGTCAACCGCATGGCTCTCGGCGTCCAGTCGGAGCACGAAGTCCGCCATCGTGCAGGGTCAGCGGCACAGCTCCACAGGAACACAGCGACCACAGCGACTGCCCCCTCCAGCACGGCGGCCGCGAAGCGCCTCAGCACGGGCGAGCAGAGGAGACGGAGCCCGAGGCGGCACGGCAGGACGAGCCGGGGCAAAGGGGCCAGGCAGGTGCGGTGGGGCCAGGCAGGTGCTGGCGGGGCCAGGCAGGCGCGGCGGGGCCAGGCAGGGCGCAGGGCCAGGAGGCACGGCGGGGCCAGGCAGGCACGACGGGCCAGGCAGGGCGCGACGGGGCAGGCAGGGCGGCGGGGCCGGGGCGCGACGGGCCAGGCAGGCGCGACGGGGCGGCGGGCGCGACGGGCCAGGCAGGCGCGACGGGCCAGGCAGGCGCGACGGGGCCAGGCAGGGCGCGACGGGGCCAGGCGGGCGCGACGGGCCAGCAGGGCGCGACGGGGCCAGGCAGGCGCGTCAGGGCCAGGCAGGTGCAGCGGGGCCAGGCAGGCGCGGGGGGCCAGGCAGGCGCGGCGGCCAGGGAGGCGCGGCGGGGCCAGGCAGGTGCGACGGGGCCAGGCAGGGCGCGACGGGGCTAGGCAGGGCGCGACGGGCCAGGTGGGCGCGACGGAGCCAGGCAGGGCACGATGGGGCCGAGCGGGCGCGACGGGGCCAGGCAGGGCGCGATGGAGCTAGGCAGGGCGTGACGGGGCCAGGCAGGGCGCGACGGGGCCAGGCGGGCGCGACGGAGCCAGCCAGGGCGCACGAGGCCGAGCGGGCGCGACGAGGCTAGGCAGGGCGCGACGGGGCTAGGGTGGCGCGACGGGGCTAGGGTGGCGCGACGGGGCCCAGGAGGGGCGCGACGGGGCTAGGAGGCGCGACGGGGCCAGGAGGGGCGCGACAGGGCTAGGGTGGCGCGACGGGGCTAGGGTGGCGCGACGTGGCCCAGGAGGGGGCGCGTGGCTAGGAGGCGCGACGGGGCTAGGAGGCGCGACGTGGCCTAGCTAGGGTACGGGCGGAAGCGGTAGGTGGGGGATGCTAACCTACGCGTGATACCATGTCAAAGTGAGAACGAATGATTACTAGAAGTGGAAACCTAGAACAAATACTAGTTGGTTGTACTCACTAGAAGCATACCTCAGTCTAGCCTATAACTTCTACATAGATAATATGTATAAGTTGACAATTACACCGGTCTGAGATTTCAGACTAATCAGAGTAAATAGTCTGATAAAGTCACCCCTGGTTCTACACCGCATTGAACCAATTCGCGTCGAGCTTGCACTGCTCAGTGACGCTCGAGTCTGATACACTCTGATAAGAGGCAAAATCTAAAGAAATACAGTGAAAATGAACCAGGGGGGTGGTGTATAGGTTTCATGCCAAAAACTAGGGTGGTATGAATATCCAGTTTAATAAAGCACCCAGGTCCGCCCAAACCACCCATGGGTGATTAATTCCAGCGGGTGTTTTATCCGGGGGAATACGGTAAGCTATTCCCATCCATGCCAACAGTCACACATGAATCCGTGCATCTGGTTGATTTATGTTATGTTGTAGATACTCTCTGCTTCCGATTGGTGGTATAAATTTCTATTATTGCTGCTTATTTCGTACGTACCCTTTGTACGTGGCATGAACAGCCAAACAAGGGTGGGCGTATATCCACACATGCATGCAAAGTTTAAACCATACAAGTTGGCCTAGATAGAGGATTACGATGGGAGGGCTAACTGGTTCTAATAAATGGAAACAAGGTGCACACTGATTGCCATATTGGTGTTCCTACAGCCCAGTCAACCTATCAACAAAGCAACTACGATATATTAAGCTTTATTTCCATGAGGCACGTAAACCTTTTGACCAGCCATAGACCCCAGTCCACTTGTCCAGACAGCCATGCCCACCCTTCCACACCTACTCTACTCCAATCCCCACGCACCTCCCGATCCCACATCCACCGGACCAGCTACACCACTACTACTACACCACTCCAGCCCCACCTAGCGCCGGTTATACTTGATAAAGCGCAGCCCGAGATACGCCCCCGCCCTGAACACGACAATAAAAGCCAGCAGCGCGAGCACATTGTATCCCACATTGCCCCTGTTCAGTGACCGCTGCGGTTCTGCCACACTCCATACCAGCACATTCCCCTGGTCCGACAGTCGAGCACACGTGCAGCTGGGGCAAGCAGCCGGGTTGCTAGAGCAGCCGGCAGGGGAGCAAGGGGCACCGGGAGTGGTGGTGTCGCAGTAGAAGGCTACGGAGAGGAGGGAGTTGAGGGCGAACTGGGTGGGGTTGAGGTAGTACAGCCACACCCAGAAGTTGGGGATGTCAGTCTTGGGGATCATGAAGCCCGAGGTGATGTTCCAGATGTTTACTATCACAGGGATGATCACCGTGGCCGTCTGGAAGGGGGGTCGGGAGAAAGGGGGAGAAAGGGGGGGAGAAAGGGGGGAGAAAGAGGGGAGAAAGGGGGGAGAAAGGGGGGGAGAAAAGGGGGAGAAAGGGGGGGAGAAAGGGGGGAGAAAGGGGGGGAAAGGAGGGGAGAAAGAGGGGAGAAAGGGGGAGAAAGGGGGGAGAAAAGGGGGGAGAATGGAGGGTTCAAATGGAGGGAGAAGCAGCTGGGGATGTGGGCCTTGGGGATTGTGAAGCCGGATGTGATGTTCCAGATGTTTACATGGGGATGATCACAGTGGCAGTCTGGAGGGGGGGAATGCATGGGGGTGGGGGGATGAGGGATGGGGAGAGGGAGGACAGGGTGAGTCATCATCCTGCAGCTCTGCCTGCAATGGGTGGAGGTCCGTGGGATCTCACTTACGTGTACATGCTGTGGTAGCTGTGGTAGGTAACGCATGCAGAGTAGAGGAAGAAGCTGACTCATTAGAGGAAGAGCACGTGTATGCCCCACATAAACACACACCATAGCACCAACCCACCAACCTACAATTCACTGACACGCATGCTCCCACTCAGCATTGGGCGTGAGCATGGATGCATGGCCATAAACATCCTACAGTGCATGATGCATCCGGAGCGGAGGACAAACACGTGCCCGCCCGCACACATACACACACATACCAGAGTACCCACGTATCAACACGCATGCACCCACCTCAGCATTGGGCGTGAGCATGGCCATGAAGATGCCATAATAGGTGATGCATGCGAAGTAGAGGAAGAATTGAAAGGAAGGGAGAAAAACATGACTGCACACATATACGCACCCAGAGCACCAACTAGCCAACACATCACAGCACATGCACCCACCTCGGCGTTGGGCGTGAGCATGGCCATGAAGATGCCATAGTAGGTGATGCACGCGGAGTAGAGGAAGAAGTTGACCCAGAAGAGGAAGAAGTCGCTAGCGCTGCCCGTGGCCACGCCCGCCATGCCGAAGCAGATGCTGCAGAAGATGAGCGTCGTCAGCGCCAGGTAGGGGCATCTGGGGGGGAGGAGTGGGGGGAGGAAGGGAGGCAAGGGCGGACAAATGAGCTGGTTAGGAAAGGCAGAAGATGGGGCTTTGGGAGAGGGCACTGACCGAGATGGGACTTTTGAGTCGACTCGAGGCAACTTGCTTTTTGTCATCTGATCTCAAGCGTGCTTACTTAAACCCTTCCCCACGCACCTCTATGAGTCCCTTCCCGGGAGGAGAGGTTGTAAAGGCACGCAGAGTACATGTTGCATGCTTTCTCTCTAGCCAACCGCTGCTGGAACACCCACCCACACTCCTTTTACAAGCCTGTCTGCTCTGCGCCCTTCTCCACCTCTTCCCCTGCTCTCCCCCCCTCTCCCCACGCACCTCTATGAGTCCCCAGGAGAGGTTGTAGAGGAACGCAGAGTACATGTTGGACGCCTTCTCTCGGTAGTACACAGGCCGCTCTGCGTTCACCTGTGTGGGGGGAGGGGAGCCAGGAGGAGGGGAAGGGCTACTAGGTGACTGACGAGGGAGAGGGGGCTCAGGCGCCACCAGAACCATGAGTACATGTTGAACGCCTTCTCCCGATAGTACACAGGCCGCTCAGCATGCACCTGTGTGGGGGGAATGGGGGGAAGGGGGGAGTTATAGGTTTCTTATGAGTCGACTCAGATGTCACAGGAACCCAGAGTACATGCTGAACGCCTTTTTTGGTAGTACACAGGGCGCTCATTATTCGCCTGGAGGGAAGGGAGAGGGGAGGGGGGAGGAGAGAGGGGGGAGGGGGAAGGGGCAGGGTGGGATGGGGTAATGAGGGGAGTTGGAGTGATGCTGAGTTGACTCCAACATCACAGCAACGCAGAGTACATGTTGGGCGTTTTTCACCTGGAATGGGGAGGGGACAATGTTGGCCGGGATGGGGAAACATACGGTCTGTTTCTGGAACTGCAACATGACATGCGAGATGAAACTGTAACCAAGAGGACATGAGACATGTGACTCTATCCATGTGAACTTTATCAATGTGACTCTATCCCTGTACCTGTGGAATGACGTTGTTGGCGTTGACCACCAGCACGAAAACCAGAGCCACGTAGAATGAGGCCCTGGCGGGATGCGAAGCCGGGTATGGTGGTGTAGTTGATCTGGGGGGGGAAGACAGGGGGGAGCGACATGGGGAACAAAAGAGAGGGAAGAGAGGGGTGAGAGGGAGACAGAGCACGGGGTGAGAGGAAAGGATGGAGGGCGGTGCAATTTTGTTTGGGGGTGGAACATCCTGAGGATCTGGAGGTGTGGCAGTACAAGGAGGGTATAGCTCTTGGGGAGGAAGAGGGTCACACACCACGTGGAAGTGCACCACACCATGTGGCAGTGCAGCAACCCACGTGGCAGTGCATCACACCACGTGGCAGTGCACCACACCATGTGGCAGTGCACCACACCACGTGGCAGTGCATCACACCACGTGGCAGTGCATCACACACGTGGAAGTGCACCACACCCATGTGGCAGTGCACCACACCATGTGGCAGTGCATCACACCCACGTGGCAGTGCATCACACCACGTGGCAGTGCATCACACCACGTGGCAGTGCATCACACACGTGGCAGTGCACCACACCATGTGGCAGTGCACCACACCACGTGGCAGTGCATCACACCCACGTGGCAGTGCATCACACCACGTGGCAGTGCATCACACCACGTGGCAGTGCATCACACCACGTGGCAGTGCACCACACCATGTGGCAGGGAACCACGTGGCAGTGCATCACACCACGTGGCAGTGCATCACACCACGTGGCAGTGCATCACACCCACGTGGCAGCGCATCACACCCACGTGGCAGTGCATCACACCCACGTGGCAGTGCACCACACCATGTGGCAGTGCACCACACCATGTGGCAGTGCACCACACCATGTGGCAGTGCATCACACCCACGTGGCAGTGCATCACACCACGTGGCAGTGCATCACACCACGTGGGAGTGCATCACACCACGTGGCAGTGCATCACACCCACGTGGCAGCGCATCACACCCACGTGGCAGTGCATCACACCCACGTGGCAGTGCACCACACCATGTGGCAGTGCACCACACCATGTGGCAGTACATCACACCCACGTGGCAGCGCATCACACCCACGTGCAGCGCATCACACCCACGTGGCAGTGCATCACACCCACGTCGCAGTGCATCACACCACGTGGCAGTGGATCACACCACGTGGCAGTGCATCACACCCACGTGGCAGCGCATCACACCCACGTGGCAATGCATCACACCCACGTGGCAGTGCACCACACCATGTGGCAGTGCATCACACCCACGTGGCAGTGCATCACACCACGTGCAGTGCATCACACCACGTGGCAGTGCATCACACCACGTGGCAGTGCATCACACCCACGTGGCAGCGCATCACACCCACGTGGCAGTGCATCACACCCACGTGGCAGTGCAGCACACCATGTGGCAGTGCACTACACCATGTGGCAGTACATCACCCCACGTGGCAGCGATCACACCACGTGGCAGCGCATCACACCCACGTGGCAGCGCATCACCCACGTCGCAGTGCATCACACCACGTGGCAGTGCATCACACCACGTGGCAGTGCATCACACCACGTGGCAGTGCATCACACCACGTGGCAGTGCACCACACCATGTGGCAGTGCACCACACCACGTGGCAGTGCAGCATCACACCACGTGGCAGTGCATCACACCACGTGGCAGTGCATCACACCACGTGGCAGTGCATCACACCCACGTGCAGTGCATCACACCCACGTGGCAGTGCATCACACCACGTGGCAGTGCATCACAGACGTAGCACATCCTCCCATATGCAATGTGTAGTTTCATCCCATGCTTCCATAATGCAGCCTCTGGCATGTTCCATAATCCCATCAGACCTCCCCTCCCATACCCCCCTCCCCCCCCCCTTCGACTTTCCCCCACCCCACCACCCTCACCTTCCCCCCTCGCCAACCCACCTGCCAGAAGGCGCTGCCGAGAATGAGCCCAAGAATGATGGAGAACATGATGCGCCCAAAGCTGTGGTGGTGGGGAGGGGAGGGCAGTAGGGTGAGAGGGAGGGGGATGCTAAACTCTCACTCTCACTCTCACTCTGCACAAAGCGAATCAACAGATGTTCAGTATTTGCCACGGGCTCAAGCCCACATGCTTGTTTGTGATGCGTCGAGGCAAGTAAGGTGCCTCACCCACGCACCCACCCATCCACCTACGGACCCACGGGCCCACGGACCCACCCACCACACACGGACCCACCCACCCACACACGGACCCATGCACCCACCAACCTGTAGGACACGTTGCGCCAGTACGTGTGGACCTGGCGCACGAACACCATGCGCGTCACCGTGCCCATTCGACGCGTATGTGCACCAGAAGGGGTGCTTTGAGAGAGCACCGACTCACCCACCTGCATGGCACCCAGTGATCCAACCCACCTGTAGGACACGTTGCGCCAGTACGTGTGGAACTGCCTAAGGAACACCATGCGCGTCATCGTGCCCCACGACGCCGCATACCCGTGCACCGACGGCTCAGGACCGTACTCGCCCTTGCCATAGCGAATGGCGTCAAGCTGCTCCTCTGCGGGAGGGCGGGAGAGGAGGGGGGGGAGAACGTGGGAGTAGAAGGAGTGGGTAAGGGGATTAGAGGGGCCGTGGTCGCCCTTGCCAAAGCGAATTGCGTCCAGCTGGTCCTCTGGGGGTAGGAAGTAAGTGGGGAGAGGAGAGTGGCAACATGTGGACAGTTGGGAATGGAGGAGGACGTAAGGACATCTTACGAACTATGAAGTGTTAACAATGAGAGAGAGACGAAACAAGGAGCAGTGGAAAATAGCAAGGCAGTATGAGCAAGGAAGCACGAAGGAGCAATGCATAGACCAGAGAAAATTCCTCCATGGATGCATGGATGCATGGATATGGAGGCATGGATGCATGGATGCACGGATATGGAGGCATGGATGCATGGACACATGGAGGCATGGACGCATGGACACGTGGATGCGTGGACACGTGGATGCGTTGACACGTGGATGCGTGGACATGTGGATGCATGGGCACACAGTCAGCAAAGAAGGAAGCAATGGCAGCAAGGGCAGCAGCTCACGGTTGTCTGCAGCGAGCACACTCTCAGCGTAGTCCAGCGCAAAGTCGCGCATGGACGCATGGCCAATGCCCGCCCTATCATCTCCAGCATATCTGCCACAACACGTTGACAGTGATGGAATAACCCAGGAGGGGGGTAGCGGGAGAGGGGGAGAGGGAGGGGCAGAGGGACGAGTGGAGGGAAGGAGTGGGGCAAGAAATGAGGTGGAGGAGGAGAGCTGAACTTGGGTATGCACCTGCTCCCTATGGTTGACGAGGAATGTGAGGGTGGTAATTGGGTGGAGGGGGCAGATTGGGAGAGAAAAGAAGAGAGGGGTGGGTTGGGGGGGGAGAGGGAGAGGGGTGGAGAGAGGGGTGGAGATGGGGAGCAAGAGTGCAGGAGGGGAGGAAAGGGGGGGGAGAGTAGAGGGGTGGAGGTGCACTTACAGGTGGCAGGGTTCTGGTCGTCCCGGCACTTGGGCAGGCCAGGCAGGGACTCGAAGTAACTCTGTGTGGAAAGGGAGGTGGGGGGCAGGGGTGGAGGGTGTGGGAGAGGAGATAGTTCCGACATAGGATGGAGGATTTTGGCTTGGAGTTAAGAGAGTGTTATGAGTCTATTTTTTAGTCGACTCAAAAAAAAAATCATCACACCTTGAGGATCCGGCGTAGGATGGATGATTTTGGTATGGAGTTAAGTGGGGGAATGGTGGAAGATGAAGGTGGGGGGATGCATGCATGCATGAAGGGGTGAAAGCGAAGCTGGCAGGCACTAGCATGTGCATGCTTCATCCAGAGATCACAGCGACGCAGTGAAGTGCCGCAATCGATGCATCATAACACGGTGGCCCGCAGGAAGTGGTACCCACTAACACACTGTGGGTAAACTGCCAGCAAGGCCACAACCCACTAATAACCACATTCAAACCCCTAGCACCACATGCAACCACCAGGAGGTCGCAGCCGTTGTGGCCGATGGGGCCGAAGTAGACGACCTCACCCCCGCGCTTCATGAGGTACAGCCAGTCAAACGCAAAGAAGAGCCGCCGGCTCGGCTGGTGGATCGTGCAGATGGTGCTGGGGAGGGGGGGGGAGGAGAGTGGGTAAGATAGGGCAGAACGGGTGAGAGACAGGGCAGAGTGGGTGAGAGATAGGGCAGAGTGGGTGAGAGATAGTGCAGAGTGGATGAGAGATAGTGCAGAGTGGGTGGCAAAAGTAGAGCGGAGTTGGGGGGGAACAGAGGGTGGGGAGCGAGGGGCTATTATATCTCAGAATATGCTGCCTTCTGACAGGGAATGAACCCACCCTTCCTGGTCAGCAACAGCTGCTGCTTGCTCCCCAAACCCTTTTCCTCCATGCCACCCTCCCTCCAACTATTTCGCCCTCCCTTCCCCCCTCCCTTCCCCTCTCCCTCCCCCCATCCCTCCCTCCCTCCCTCTCCCCCCCTCACCTCCTCCCGGTGCCAGCAATGTTCCTGATCCCGCGCACGACAATGTCAGCCGCGCGGCTGTCCAGCCCACTGGTGGGCTCGTCCAGGAAGAGGACGCTGGGGTTGGCCACCAGCTCCACGCCTATGGTCAGCCGCTTCGCCTGCTCCACTGTCAGCCCGTTGATGCCAATGAACCCCACCAGCGTGTCCGCTATGTCGTGCAGCTCCAGCAGGTCCATGGCCTGGCCGGGGAGAGGAAGGGGGGGGGAGGGGGAGGGGGGGTGGGGTAGGGAAGGAAGGAAAGAGGAGAAAGATGAGAGCAGGTGTGGGCCTGCCCCGCTTACCAGCGTGTCTGCTATGTTGTGCAGCTCCAGGAAGTCCATGGCCTGGCCTGGCAGTCAACGGAAGTAGAAAAAGTGGGTGGAGAGGGGGGGGGGGGGGAGCAAGAAGGGAGTCGAAGTGTTGAGGCCACCCACCTACCAGCACCATCTCTCACACCGCCTGCACCACGAGCGCGCAGTCAGCGGGCGAGACGGTGGCGGGCAGGCGCAGAGCCGCGTTCTCTGTTCCACAATCACACAATCACACAACCACACAACCACACAACCACCCCATGCGTCCATGCTCCCATGAATCCATGCGCCAATGCCAATCCGCTCATACCACCCATGCCATTGCACACACCTCCTGCACCATGCACACCCTGTCTGCAGACGAGGTGGCGGCAGGCAGGGCACCGCAGCAGCCTAGGCCCACCCAACTACTCATGCCACCCACGCAATTACCCTCACCGCCTGCCCCACGAGCGCCCTGTCGGCAGCAGAGGTGGCGGAGGCAGGCGCAGAGCCGCAGCAGCAACCTCGGCCCAACCAAGCACCCATGCCAATGCGACCGAACTCATGCAACCCATGCTACCAGAACCATCTGTCTCGCCTCCTGCACCACGAGCGCCCTGTCAGCAGGCAACGTGGTGGTGGGCAGGCGCAGAGCAGCATGCCCGGTGCCACAAACACCTATCCCTCCCGTGCACCTATGCCCTTACACTCACACCCACACCTTTTCCACCCACGTGCCGCCCTAACGCACCTCCTGCACCACGAGCGCCCTGTCAGCAAGCGAGGTGGTGGAGGGCAGGCGCAGAGCGGCGCTGAACTGCAGCGACTCGCGGATGGTGATGAAGGGCGTGTGGATGTCGCTCTGCTCCACGTAGCTGGGTGAGGGAAGGGGAGGCGGGGTAGAAGGGGAGAAACAAGTGAAGCGAAGGGGGTGGGGGTGAGGGGGGGATATAGGTAGATTGAATGATGATGAAGGGCGTGTGGATGTCGCTCTGCTCCACGTAGCCGGCACAGGAGGGATAGCACACACGGGCAGCAGAGTGGGTGAAAGAGGCGAGGCAGAGCGGTGAAGGGGCAGAGCGGTTAAGGGGCCGAGCGGTGACGGGCCGAGAAGTGACGGGGCAGAGCAGGGGCAGGTAGGGAGCAGAAAGGGAGCAGGAGCAGCGAAGCTAGAGAGCAGAGGGCGAGTGCATGAGCAGCAGTACCCGGAGATGCGGGCGAACGTGGCCTGCACTTTGGGGAAGGAGTTGACCAGGATGTCTCCCCGGGTGCGCCCGATGGTCTTGCGCCCCGCCAACACGTCCAACAGGGTTGTCTTGCCTGCGCCTGGGAAACGAGCAGGGGGGAGGGGAAGAAAGAGGAGGGCAAGGGAGCAGGATGAGTGGTTATGCGCACGAAAGGAAGGGGGGAGAGGGTGGGAGGATGGACAGGGAGGAGACAGAGGTACGCGGAATGAGGGGGAAAATGGGAGAGGGCAATGGGATGAGGAGTGGTCAAGTGGAAAGGAGAGTGCATGGAAAGAATTTACCTGGGAAGCCCATGAGTGCGTTGACGGTGCCAGGGCGCACTAATGAGTCGTTCCAATAGTCACCCCGCCCGCACTATTGGGTGTATGGGAGAGATACCTGAGGAGCCCATGAGGGCGGTCATGGTGCCAGGGCGCACGAAGCCAGACACGCTGTTGAGCAGCACCTTGGGCTCACTCATGCCCGGTACGTCCACCTGGGGGGGAGGGGGGGTGGGAGAGAAGAGGTGGTGGGAAGGGGTGGGATGGGATGGGTAGGATAGTGGGCGCAAGGGATAGGTGGCATGTGATGTAAGGAGCCCCAAAGCACCTTGGGCTAACTCATGCCCGGTGCTGTCCCCCTGGAAGGGCAGGTGGCAGAGATGGTTGGGAGGTGATTACAGGCGCACAGGTGCTTCAGAGCAAGGGCGGGATGAGCAGTTAGAAGAGGGATGGAAGGAAGCAGCACAAGGTGTGAGACAGCGTTCCTTGTTGAAAGGGCGATGCAGAACCAGCACCAGCAATACCAGCAGCAGCAGCAGCAGCAGCAGCAGCAGCAGCAGCAGCAGCAGCAGCAGCGGCAGCGGGAGCAGAAGCAGCAGCAGCAGCAGCAGCAGCAGCAGCAGCAGCAGCAGCAGCAGCAGCGGCGGCGGCAGCGGCGGCGGCGGCAGCAGCAGCAGCAGCAGCAGCAGCGGCAGCGGCAGCGGCAGCGGCAGCAGCAGCACCACCACCACCACCACCACCACCACCACCAGCTGTCACGCACCAGCACCAGTACCAGCGGTAGCACCAGCAACAGCACCTTCTGACATAATAGAGCGAGACAAAGAAGGACAGGGTGGCCGGAGTGGACTTTTAATTGGGGGCTGAGTTGCGCTGCGTCCTCTTGAGGCGCCCCCGAAACCACAAGCTCGCCTCATATAGCAGGCAGTGGAAGGCCAGAGTGATCGAAGCGAACTTCACTCGAGAGTGAGGGAAGCACGCGAGTACAATCTCCTTTCTCCATACCTCAAAACGAGCGCACCTCATAGAGCAGGCCGTGGAAGGACCATTCAAGAAGAGTGGTCGGAGTGAACTGCACTCGCAACTGACTGGAGAAGAAATGTCTGTTTCCTAGGTGTCCCTTAGCAAGCACGCTGCGCACCTCATAGAGCAGGTCGTGGAAGGAAAGAGTGGTAGGAGTGAATTTGACTCGCGACTGAGGGGCCGCCTTGGTCCCTCCATCCTCCTCCGCACCATCAGCAGCAGCACCATCAGCGGCACCATCAGCAGCAGCAGGCTCAGCAGCAGCGGCATCCCTCTCGATCATTGCCTCTGCTTCCTCCGCCTCGCCCCCCTCCTCCTCCCCCTTCCCCTTCTCCTCTGACGACATCTGCTTCTTCACCGCCCGCACCGCCTTCTGAAACACGTTCCGCTGGGGCGGCCGGGGTGGCAGGCGGCTGGCGGGCGGCATCTTATTTTCGTTGAACCGAACACGAGCAACAGCGAGGAAGGTGAGGGAGATGAAGAGCGCAGTGAATCCCAGGAGAGCAGCAAGGGAGTACCAGACGGCACCGAAGGAGGAAGGCATTCCAAAGAACTGTAGGAAGGCCTCTCCTGCTGTGGTGCTGCCAGGCTTGTTGAGACAGAAGGCAGCAGTAGTGGTGTTGACTGTGCTGCAGGGCTGTGCGGGGGGGAGCGAGGGAGTGTCAGTGTGGGGGATTGAAGGGGGTGGGAATGGGGGGGGTGGAGAGAGTGAGGCCAGGAGAGGAAAGGGAGGCGTATGAGTAGCCAGAGATTGGTCATACAGCTTTGAGGTTTGTAACGAAGATACAACCTTACAACGATGCAGGGCACTTGCATCCCCCCCACCCCACCCACTGCACAGCACAGCCCTTCCAAACAGAAATGGCAGGTGGGCTTCCAAAGCATTTCTCCCCTTGCCAGCGTAACGCACTGAACGCTTTCAAAGCTACACACAATACACACAACAACACACTACGGACCACTGACCTCGTTGTAGGAGCCCGAGAGGAACTCGTTGATGCAGATGGCGGTGACGCCGTACTGCAGCGGGTTGACGTAGTACATCCAGATCCACCACGCGGGGATGTTGGGCTTGGTCAGCAGGAAGCCCGTGAAGAGCAGAAACGTGATCACCACCAGACCTGGCAGGAAGAGGGGAGAGGAGGGTGAGGGGGCGTGGATGGAGGAAGGCACGGATGGTTAAGATGGAGGGGAGCCTTGAGGAGCCTCAACTCAACACAGCAAGCCTGGGAAGAGCAGAAAGGTGACCAGTCCTGGAAAGAAGGGGGAGACGGGGGTCACCTGCAGTGCTGGCAGTACCTGCAGTGCTGGCAGTACCTGCAGTGCTGGCAGTACCTGCGAGGCTGCCAGTACCTTCTATGCTGGAGGCCATCTCGCTGAACGTGCTGACGGAAGCAATGAGGCGGATGAGCATGGCGCCCATGACACCCACTGCTCCTGCCAGCAGCATGGCTCACCCATAGCACCTGCATGTGCAAGACAGTAGCAATGCCGGCTCACACACAGTACCTGCACTGCCTTACCTGCGAGGCTTGACGCCATCTCCCTGGAGGTGCTGACGGAGGCGATGAGGCGGATGAGCGTGGCGCCCATGACGTCCACTGCGAGCAGCAGCAGCAGGAAGAGGAAGAAGTGGGACACGCCATCCGCTGCGCTCATGCCCGTCAGCCAGTACACCAGAGGGCCGTAGATCAGCACCTGCAGGTAGTGGCAGAGGGAGGAAAGAGGAGATATTTGGAAAGGCTGATACAAGTCAACACTGAATACAAGCCAGTCAGCCAGTACACCAGAGGGCGGTGGGTCAGCACTTGACAGAAGCAGCCAAGAGCTGAAGGGAGAGTGGGAGAGGAGCGAGGAGGAGGCAGTCTCGATGTCGACTCGAGCCTCTCTTGGGACGCCTTGACAAGCGGCTTGAGTACGGCAATTTGGTAGACTCAAACATCCATCAGTCTCCCTCCCCCTTCCCCATACCCCTCTCCCCAAAACCCACTTATCCTTCCTCGCTCACCTCAGCCAGCGAAAATGGCAGGTTGCAGATGGTGGCGGCAAGGACCAAGGAGCTTACCCACACAAGTCAACTCAAACATCTCTGATGCCCCCTTTCTCCTCCTTCTCCCTCCTCGACTCACCTCAGCCAGTGAGAAAGGCAGGTTGCAGATGGTGCTCGCGATGACATAGGAGCTCAAGCGGTAGAACCGTGTGCCCAACTGCTTCGCCACCGCCTGCCGCTCGTCGATGATGTTGGGGATGAGCCTCCTCCTGCCAACCCCGATTTCACAACCCGCCCTTCGTGCCTTCCCCGCTCACCTCAGCCAGCGAAAACGGCAGGTTGCAGATGGTGCTGGCGATGACATAGGAGCTCGATCGATAAAACCGCGCACCCATCTGCTTCTCCACCACCTGCCGCTCGTCGATGATGTTGGGGATGAGCGCAAAGCTCCCCAGCGCGAGCGCCATGGTGGCGGCGAAGGCGATGGAGAGGCGCAGCTGCATGGTGGGCGTGGAGATGGTGTTGGGGATGCGGAAGAACACAGTGCCCGTGAATATGCCCAGGATCAGCACCTGAGGGGGAGGTGGGTGGGGGGTGGGGGGGGGGGAGAGTTTGGGGAGGAGGGGTGGGGGTTGGGGAAGGGCGAAACGGGGAAAGGGCAGGGGAATACTGCTTTGAGGCACCTCGAGACACAGTGACGCTTGGAGTGCATGGCGCTGCACACGCGATGGCAACTTGACTTACACATGGCGTTGGGTTGCTTACCTGCATGCCGCGCGTGATGAGGAAGGAGGTGCTGCGGGTGGTGACCTTGAACCACCAAGCACACACTCTCACACTCTTTCACACACTCTCTCACACTCTCACACTCTCTCACACACTCTCTCACACACTCTCACACTCACTCTCACACACTATCTCACACACTCACATGCATACACACACGCGCGCATGGCAGTACCTGCATGCCGCGCGCGATGAGGAAGGAGGTGTTGCGCATGGCGACCTTGAACTGCCGCGCCACCACCAGCTTCGTGCTGGCCCACCACGGGATGGCGTACTCCTGCTCGAACTTGGCGTGTGCTGGCAGCTCCTCCTGTGGGTGGGAAAGGGGGGTGGGACGAGGAGATAGAGGAGATGGTGCATGAGGGGGGCCGGGGGACATGGAGGTGCGGGGGTGGGAGGGCGCAACCAGCTTCGTGCTGGGCCACCGGGGGATGGCATGCAATTCAACTGCTCAAACTTGGCATGCGCTGGCAGCTCCTCCTGTGGGTGGGGGGGGGGGGTGGGGGGGTAGAGACAAGTGAAGGAGCACGGGCGGATGGGAAGATGGGAGGAGCCCCCCATGGAGAGATCTCCCGTCCTCACCGCATCCCACCTCTCCCCACCACCCTCCACCGTCAACCTCCCCCACATCCCACCTGCACCAGTGGTCGTTCCAGCTGCAGTCGAACAGCATCCCCGCCCTCCCCCTCCTCTCCTCCCCCCGCGTCCCCACCCGTTGCTGCCTGCAGCCTCTTCTGCAGCACCTCCGCGATCACACACCCCTCCCCATCCCCACTCTTCCCCCCTCCTTCCCCTCCTCCTCCTCCCCCACACCCAGCCGTAGCATACTGCATGACCTCCCCTGGGAGCGCCAGCCCAGTGACTGAGTCCCCTTGCTGCACCGTGTCCGTGCATGTGATGTCGGGCTGGGAGAGGTGGCAGTGGGCCAGCACACTTGAGATTGCGACTGTAGGAAAGCAAGATGGGCGAGGGAAGGAGACATGAGTGTGAAGATAACGTGCCAGCCCAGTCACAGCGTCCCCTTGCTGCACCGAGTCGGTGCATGTGATGTCCGGCTGAGAAAGGTGGCAGTGGGCCGCCACACTTGAGTCGGTGACTGCAGGGGGGAGGAGGGGGTAGGAAGAGGAGGGAGGGAGGGGGAAGAGGGGATGGAGGGAAGGGAG